GGGGGGGGTAACCAGTAAGCTGAAATGAAGTACTTACAGAGTAAAAAGTACTCATTTCTATATTAAGTAGTTAAGTTTGGGTGTGCACCAAATGTCCATTAACAGTTAGATCCTGAAGGAAATTATAGACCCTCATTCTTCAGAAAAGGTCTACCGGTACTATGGTCAGATTAAAAAATACTGATCCAATGTAACATTTCTCAAATCCTTAAAGATACTGGGAACTGTGCATACTAGGTTTTCTTTAAGAAAAAGAAATTATAAATTTTTAGAAAGCCAAAATGCAGGTATTTAGGAAAAATGACATAACAAATATAACTTGAAACAAGAGTTTCTGCTTTGAATGGTACGATTTATCAGCTCTAAGAAAATTTAAGACTAGTCATTTCACAATATATCAGGGGTGGGGAACGTTTGGCCCTGCCAAGGCAACCACAGGCAGGACTTGAGATTTGATAAATCTAGGAACTAATTTTGTATGGCCCTCAAATGATGTTATAAATATCCAAATGGCCCTTAGCAGAAAAAAGGTTCCCCACCCCTGCAATATATGTAGATCAAAGCACCATGCTGTATACCATAAACTTATACAGTGATGTATGTCAATTATTTCTCAATAAAACTGGAAAAAATGGTGGCTATAAAAATACTGTTTTTACATAATCACCTGGGGATTTAATTTACTTTAGGAAATTTACTTGGTGGGCTATTTTAGTGGAAATATAAAAGGTGCCTAGAAGTGCCCTGCCAGTGTCGCTCAGCGGTTGAGCTCAGCAGTTGGGCGCTGACCCAGGAACTAAGGTCACTGGTTCAATTCTGGGTCAGGGCACATACCCAGTTGCAGATGGATCCCCAGTAGGAAGCGCGCAGGAGGCAGCTGGTCGATGATGTTTCTCTCTAAACATCCCTCACCCTTCTTCCCTTACTCCCTTTCTCTAAAAAATCAATAAAAACATATTTTTAAAAAAATTTTTAAAGTGCCTAGAAGTGATTTAGTAGAAAGAATAGTGAGTTCTCTTCCATACAATATATAAGAAAGTTGTTGAGCATATTCTAAGAGTTGTAATCACAAGGAGAAATAATTTTTTCTTTTCTTTTTATTGTATTTTATATGAGGTGATGTTAATTAAACTTATTGTGGTTATCATTTCACTATATGTAAGTCGTTTTTAAACCATCATGCTGCACATCCTAAACTTATACAACGATGTATGTCAATTATTTCTCAATAAAACTGGGGGAGGGGGGAACTATGACTTACTTTGTAAACTTAATGGACTTACATGTAAGTCCATGTAAAAACACATAACGTGGCTTCTTAAAACTTATCTTTTTGGATTTTTCTATTTTGAGAAAATTCTTAAATGGAAGGAAAACATGTCCATGAGTTACTCTTGAAATATATGTAACCAATCAAAAAGAAATTTCTCAACACTAAGGCTGAAATGAACTTTCCTTCTTCCTCTACCCCCCAACCCCCTGATTTGTCTGTCATATTATCTATCTTGCATACCACTTCTTTCTTTGCCATGAAAAATAATTTAAAAAGTGGGAGGATTTGGGCTTTCTAGAACTAGGCCCTCCAAAAAACCAATATACTAATATTTAAAGTTAAAGCAGTATGTGGAAATAATGACCAAGTAGATACTTTTAAGTTCTATAGTAATAAATATTAGCCCATAAATTTTTCCAATAAGAGTAACTATGTCACATATTTAAGCTTCTCTTGTAGACTCTCTAGGGCTCACAGTTCTAAGTACCTAAACATTTTTCATAGAAGTACATTTACTTCATATCCCATGACTATACTGTGTAGAGTATTGAAATTGGGCCCGGGAGACTAAATGAGTAGGATACATAAAAGGTTACACAAAAATATGGCTACTAAATAATAATTTCTCATGATTTATGTAACAATATTTAATGTAGTCTCAATCATCATAGAGAAGAAAGATAGTAATTCTACCCTCAAATTCAGGCAATAGAAATCCCAAATATGATTTCTATTGCTTATTACATATTGTCTGTAGGTGTAATGCACACTCATTCACAAGGACTTTTCAAAATGTCATTAATTACCTATAATATCACCCACATACAGAATTAGGTAAGTTAGATGCAAAAAGGTTGGTTTCATTATAGGAAAAAGGGAAGTCCAAAAAGGTACATAATACACTAAGATATTTCTGCTGCATTACTGACATCAGTTTAGTGTGGCATATTGTTTTACGGGGAATGTAGATGATAATGTAATCATGCCCTAAATTAATGTATGTTCTACACTGGCCAAAAGGGAAAATGAACTAAAGCAATTAGAAGATAGAAAGGGATACAAAAAATAAGAAAAACAGACAGGCTAAAAAGGGAAGGAAAGAAGAAAACAAAGAGAAAGAGAAAAGGAAGGAAGGGGAGAGGAAAGGGGGAATAAGGGGAGAGAGAGCACTAGCAAGAGGGAACCCAACTATAGTATACTACTGTTAATGCTTAGACTTCATATGACACAGTTCTCATCTGCTATCAAAGGTGCTTTCACATCTTTGGTTTTCATATGTGCAAACAAATCTCACAAATGCATCTAAATTATGAGCTATGACTATTACAGACATGCCCTTAGAAATCAAACATCAAGAAAAATTAGCCTAACAAAATGGAATAACACTATTTTATTTATCAGCAATACAACAGTTGTTGCTAAGAGTTTAATGTTTGCTTTTTACTATTCTAAATTTTTTCATTTGCAGAGTATCTTTAGTTATAAGTAAGTGCCAAAGACTGACCAATTTTAAAAAAAGAAATAAATAAATTCTGAAGGAATAAACCTTACTGTTTTTTTTTTTAGTTTAAGAAAACAAATTTCATGTAAATATCGACTATTTTTATAGGCTTTATAATTTACAAACTATCTTCTAATATATTATCTTAATTTTACCTACAATCTTGACAGTTAACATGTCTATCTTTAATTATTTATTTAACTATTAGAAATTGTGTTTTATGCTTCAAAAAGTAGGGCAATTAAAATTGAACTTGATTTTTTTTTTTCAACAAAATAATGCTTCATAAATTGGCAGAAGTCATCATTAGTGACAAATTATTACATGAGTAACTCCAGTGACAAATTACTGAAAGTCTTAAAAATGTAAATACATTACAAGACAATGGTGGACATATGATTTCACATAAACAAAAAAATAGCTAATATGACTGTACCCAGCACCCTCTTTATAATACCATTCTTTTATGGTTGAGCATTTCAAATGTTATAAAGAGGAGTTATTTTTAACTTGAGGGAAGCTATACTTCATTCTGTGGTGTTTTTAAACTACATATTTATAGGAGAGAGAGCCTTATAATGAGGGTGGAGAGTATTAAAAGCCACACTACACACACAATAGGCCATCATGCATTTTAACCCATTATTAAACTTACCCCTCTTTTGAGACTTCTGAAAGAAGGAATTCTGGGCTTCCCTGTTTTTATTTCATTCATACAATAATGCACGGGCTCAATGGAGAATGTGAGAAACTGGGACCCATTAGGAGTACTGGATGTGAATAAACTAGTAGGGGTTAAGGGTGGGGACTGTGGCTAATATGGAAATAAAGAAAGGAATCAATAAGCCAAATGTGCATAGCTTTTTTCTAAATGAAAATTCTATTTTTGGCAACATACTTTTCACAAAATATATCTCAAAGTTTTCTATAAAAATATTATAAGAAAGTTAACAGTTTTGTCAAAATTATCATTTTTAAAAGTCAAATTTACTTTTAAAAATGTACCATTTCATTTTATCATTTTACAAACTGCCAGATTAGAAATAGAGTATGCAAATTATGTTAGAGAGAGCAATGTGACCTAGATTTTAAAAAGTGTCTTCTGACTTCTAAAATATTATAGCACTGCCTTAACTTAACCTGTAGCTGTCAGCGATAAAGACAGCAGCTACAGTTAAAGTTATCTATAATATGTAATGTTTATTAAAATAAAATATTAAAATGTTAAAACTGTAACTGGTTATTATCACAAATAGGCCAAAAAATATTCTGTAACATTTGTGGCTTTCTTCTCGGACTGTCTCTGTTTCATCCTATTGCACCTCGTTTTTCTTTAACTCCAGTATTCCTTGTTTATCTAAGCTCTCTTGGCTACTATGACCTGACTTAAAGACTCACCTCTCAACTTCTCAACTGGACAATATTATTAAAAGCATGAATAAAGCTTGAGATAACTATAATTGTGATTTTACATATACAGGTATATTATAATGAGTTAAATTTTATCTACATTCATGTCAAAATCAGAAAACTGTATTAAAATAATGTATGCTTTAATAAACACAGACATGAGATTAAAAGTACATATCTATTCTACTAATACTATTATAATCACTAAATTGTTAAGAAAAGAGTAAGCATTCCCCTATTCCATTTGCTCATCTGCTGAGCTAGATTTATCTATCTAAAATAAACAGCACATCAAAAGACAGGTTCCAACAAGAAGAGTGAGATATTCTTAGTAAACTAGAGATTTTTTTTAAACTTCAAATAATCACAAACGTTGAGCCCTTCCCATTAAATATTCACATGGATGATAAAAAAAATAACTTTATTAGTATGATCTAGACCTAATTTGACATTTAATATTTCTGTGGTCAATCATTCATTCCAATTGAGAACTGCAATTTTAGTGCTCATATAGTTAGATCATAATGTTTCCTTAGAAATTTTGACTGAACTATATATAAATGAAATTTCAAAAGCATATAATTTAAGAGATACTGAACAACTTATCAGTTTATTCATTATTCAGTGGTGGTCAAATGTTAAATCCAGAAATAATTTTTCCTATTAAGGTATAAAACTCTATGTTTCTAATAAGTGAAAGTTAATTAAACATTTATTTTCTATTAACAGTAAACCATTATCCATTCAATACCTACATTGATTTAAATGACACACTAAAACAAAATCATTAGCATAAAGGAACTTTATGACGTTTACCTTTGGCTTCTTTCCAAAGAGCCACAACTTGCCCTTGGCCTTTCCCACTGTGGTTTTGGCATCCACCTTCCCACTTTCCTGTTTGGATGCACTGATAGTCCCATCAGAAATGGTTCTATAAATATGCTGACTGTAATCCTCAAATGGAAAGTCTCCTGGAGGTTCAAATCCAGACTTGAAGGAGTCTACTACCATTTGAGAGTCCTATACACAAGGAACATGTTTTAAAAACCATTCCATTTGTTCATAATACCACATTAGCTTTCAAAGCTTGAATCCATTACAGAAAACAAGAAATAAAAATTTAAAGAAATAATTCTACAGTTATCATTTAAGGGTTAAAGTAAATAATTTCTTCCTGTGTATTTGCAACAAACCCTATTTAAATCCCAATAGAAAAAAAAACCCGCCAATTTACAAACAAATTACTACTTTATTAATCTGTAATATTCATGAATGTTTTCATTCCACAGCTTTAACCCACTGAAATTCATCTGAGGACTAGTTAGATGATAAGAAAGGTCTGAATGACAAAAGGAATATAGGAAGATATTATCCCCAAGTAGAAATTGTAAGAAGTTTCAAAGGAAAAAGGCCTTTTGCTTTGGGATGTCTAAAAAGAAGTTGACCTTTGGAACAGATAAAAGGGCATCTAATCATAAAAGAAAGTAAGAGACAAGTAGAAAAGTTTTCATTCATCCAATGGGGAAAGGATAAATAAAATATATTAAATACATAATCAGGAATGTTAATAGAGCAATGGAAAAAGAGCTCACAAACAGTACTGAGCGCAGAAAGCCACTGTGAAAACATAAAGTTCAGTGCTATTTAACTAAAATTTTAAAACTCACATAAGTATTTATAATGTTTTTGGACATACATACTCTATCCGAATATTTTAATAACACCTTAAACTCATTTTTTCAAACAGAATACTTTAACCCTATAAACTCCTCCCCACCCCTAACCACCTCTCCTCTTTTATTCCCTATTTCTGTTAATAGTGCATTTTGCCTGTCATGTGGTCAAAAGTCATTCTTAAGTGAAGCCTTAATTTTATCACTAATGCCACCCCCACCAATGATTATTTGCTAAAGGGTAAGAGTGAGAGAGGAGGGACCTAGCTATATTTGTAACTTGGATCCAGCCATGCCAAAATACAAATGTACCTTTGAATTCCCACTTTAAAAACCCCCAAATCCTCTTTTCTTTAAAATTACAGTCAGAATTCTAATTGTTACAGGAAGGATTCTCACTAATATAATACCAACTTTTTGGTCACTCAATCAACATTTACTGAAAAGTGACTCTGCTAGACCTTAATCAAGATATAATATGATTAGACATATTTCCTCAAGGGGAGCAGGACTATGCTGTTCCTTCCACCTTCCACTCACAATGCCCTCCTTCCTTCTTTTTCATGGGCCACCATTCCATATCCATGCTTCAAATCCAGTTCGAGTGCCAACTCTTGTTAAAAGCAACTTTTACAATTCTAGATCATCTGAGCATTTCTTACTCTAAACTTTAACTAGACTAACAGTTTAATACTGTTTGTAACATGGTCACATCTTAATTACACTCTTGCAGTATAACTGAAAAATTAGTGGAGGCAGGAGATGGAAAGGTTAGAACTCTTCTTTGAAACAATTAGAATTTTAGTATGTATAATGGCCCTTAGAAGCAAAAAGGAGTCCAATCTATTGTCAGGCTTTCTCCTACAGAATTTAATTTAGAATCAAGTGCTTATCAGTTTCTTCACTCCTTTTCCAATTCATTTCACTAACTTAAGCCACACACCTAAACCAAATACATTTATTCAAATATAATTATATAGCACTTACTCTTCTTTCATCAACTGATTTTGCTGCAAGAATCATTCCTTCCAAACATTTTGAAATGATAGGAATAACTTTGCGTTCTGAGTCTGCAAATCCTCTGTAACACTCGCTGAGTTTAACAGTCCTTCGTTCATCCATTTCTTGTAGTTGCTAATAATCAGGAATTTTTAAAATAGAAAAATGAAAACTTTTTTTTATTCTGAAACAACCCCCCCCAAAAAAAATTTAAGTTCTACCCTAATAGTTATACTGTTGTTAATGCCTTTTAACAAGTGCTATAGACTTATAATACTTAAAACTTGAGTCCTGTTAAATAGCAAAAGAAAATAAAAACCAGGTAACAGTTTTTCAAACCATCTCAAGAGCCCCCCTATAGCCTACCCACTCCTTGACTCATAGTATCTCCACCTTTCTTTCATTATTCAGACAGAGCAGTTGTTGCTGTTAATACTTCCAGGAAAAGTTTTTTTTGAAGACAGAATTTTGATGCTTCTTTTTTCCTTTTTAAGCAATTAGCCTATAACATACACAAGTCTGAAATTTCTAAGCCCTTAAACTAGTTCAGAATACTTTGGTAAGATCTGGCTGGACCAAGGATCCACAGTTGACTGCATACCAACAGGTACCCAGATCTAACACAGTCTATAGCTCAGTGTTGTCACTCTGAGGGTTGGGGACACAAGGGGTACAACAGAAAGCCACAGGTCAAAGTGGTACATATGTGGAATCCCCACAATTCAAAAATTCATCGGCACATGCCACCAAGAATTATACTGGTACACATGAAGCTAAACAACTTAAAGACAGTTTTTGGCACTTCCTGTTTCCCAACACTGACTGACCTTTCTCCTAGGAAGCAGCTACACTGATCAAATCCCCAAACTCCAATAGCCTTCATATAACTTTTCCTCTTTAATTACGTCCAAAAGTCTGGGAATTTATTTTGAGACCTGCAATTTCACAAAAGAACTGTCCCCACTGTCACAAAATGGCCAGACTGCTCCATAGCAAGCTCTAAACAAAAGGATAAAGCCTCAAAACACAAACAGGAGTTGATCTCCAAATTAAGATCTCCCAAGAATATAAGGCTTAGCTGGTAAACCTAGAAAAGCACCACAGAGTGAGGATTGGTAGGACAGACACCTGGATTAAATGACCGAAATCTGATACCCACTCTAGTCTAGCACCTCTCACTATGCTTCACTTGTACGTCTAACTTGCCTTACAAAGAAAACAAAGTACATTTGGGCTGACACTCTCCCTACATAAGTTCTGCTCTCCTAGATAGGACTTTTTTCAACAATGTTTCACTAAATCGCTTTTCCCTAATTTGTCTTCTTTGTAGAATAGGCAGTAACATAATTTAACCTTTGTGGAAATTCTGTGATCTTTACCTGAGGGTGTTTGGCAGCTGCCATCATCAAGTGATGACAGATGGGATTTAAAAGCAAGCTCATGCCTAAATTACATTTATGATCTGGCATCTAGGAAGACACGCAGGCAAAAATCTGGCTAGCAAACACATTTTATAAGATTTGTTTCTGCCACCTGGACTAATGCCAGTGACTCTGGAATGGTGTCACAAAGCTACATCCCAATTCTAGGTGAGCAGATTACAATATACAATTCCAATGAATTCCCCCTATGTTGTAATACTTAAAAATACAGCATATTAAATTTTATCTAGAAAATGTCATTGCTTTAGTGGACTGTATATTACACTAATAATAAAGCTATAGGAAAATTAGTGATTTCAAAGTTAGAAAAAATTTCGTTTTCAAAACTATAATCATAAATCTTATCACCAATATTGATGACTAGTGAATCTAGAAACATTCTGATTGATGCCTGAAATGCAAGTTTTACATTTAAAGAGTAACTTGTCCAACACTAAAACTAGATTAATTTCATATATTTAAATTTTACCTTGTAAATCTGAGGAATCACTACGTAGAAATGTTTGTGTTGTTCTCCATTAAAGTTTTGTAACTGTGCAGCATATTCATTTTTATTTTCATCAGCCATATGCGTCCGAAGATTCAACTGCTGTTTAGCCTAGAGGCAAATTGGTCCAAATTATTACCAACAAGAGCAACAAAATCACTGCCACCTGGACTAATGCCAATGATTCTGGTAGAGTGTCAAAAGGCCACATCCCAATTCTAGGTGAGAAGATTACAATATACAATTCCAATGAGCTGAGAGCTAACACAGTTTTCTAAAAGTTATATTAAAATTAGATTTTTCTCTACTGATATCATTTAAAATTTAAGGAGATATTTGCAGATCCTATAGCCAGAGCAGCCTCCCTATGGCAAATATTCCCTTTCTTTCAGTGCAATAGTACTTCCCCTTGCAATAATCCATTCAAATCAAGTTTCTCCTTACCTAATTGAAATTGTTAAAAAAATTTTTCAATAAATATTTGAAAACATTATGGCTTGAAACAGTAAGCTTTTAATCAAAAGAGAAAAATAGCATCAGGAATATTTTAAAAGTTAAAAAGTTAGTAGTAAAACATTTCTTTAAATGTGATACACTTGGAACTAACTCAGTAAAACCAAAATGATAAAATGGTGATTTTGGACAAGGTAATTGTTAACAATGATTTTTTCATCTCTATACAAAACTGCAGGCACTTTAAGGAATGCTTATTTAGAATATAGTTCTGTTCATTTCCAGCTCTTGTAGAAATATTTTTCAGCCCGGCCAGGCGTGGCTCAGCGGTTGAGCGTCGACCTAGGATCCAGGTGATCGGGGTTCGATTCCTGGTCAGGGCTCATGCCCAGGTTGTGGGCTCGATCAATGACTCTCTCATCATTGATGTGACTCTCTCATCATTGATGTTTCTCTCTCGCTCTCTCTCGCTCTCTTTCTCTCTCTCTCTTTTCCTCTCTCTGAAATCAATAAAGATATATTTTAAAAATAAAAGTAAATAAAAAATAATACGAACAGTACAGAGAGATATACATTCTCATACCACACCATATATGAAAAGACATGTGGATTTCATTTAACTATAAACTCAGTAGGAGTCAATCCAAACAATGTGGTTGCCCAAAAAGTTGATATACATTTAGGCTATAATTAACATAAATGTAGTATTCAAAACAAAGGGGGTAATCAAACTCAGGACTGATCTGACCACATCTGGGTTATTACATCCAACTTGAGCTAACATAATTAAGTGGGATATTCATGAATTAAGAGTATCCAAAGGAAAGCAGTCATAATGAAAGATAACTTGAAGCTATTTCACATGTGGAATAATTGAAGAAACACAACAATTCATCCTGGGATAGAGAATTTGTTACAAATATCTAAAAAGCTATTGTAAAAAAAAATAAATTTCATATTTTTTGGTACCTCAAAGAAACTAAAACTGAACAGCAGACAAGTGAGGTCAATAATGAAATGTTAAAGTTAAAAAAAAAAATTGAACAGACTATCTGAAGATTATTATTTCCAATGACAAGGAATTTCATTAGAGGCAGAAGTCATTAAAAATAGGGTAGACAAGATATAAACATTACAAGTTATATTAGAAGAACTTTAAGGTAATTATAGCCTGGAATTTATGTATTTTTAGGGGCTTTTAAAATGTAAAGAAAATGGAAGGCAGAAAATAAATTATAGTCGACCCTTGAACAACACAGGTTTGAACTGCACAGGTCCACTTACATGTGAATTTTTAAGAAATAAATACTGCAAATGCATTTTCTCTTCCCAATGATTTTCTTAATAACATTTTCTCAATAACATTTTCATTTCTCTAACTTACTTTATTATAAGAATACAGTATACAGTACATATAACACACAAAATATTTGTTATTGGTAAGGCTTCCAGTCAACAGCAGGCTATCAGTAATTAAATTCTGGGGGAGTTGAAAGTTATATGTGGATTTTTGACAGTGCAGGGGTTGGCGCCCCTAATCCTGAGTTGTTCAAGGATCAACTGTATTCTTTTCTACTTTTTCGTGTTCTGTTCCTGTAGGAATTATAAAATCCTAAGGAGAAAATATATTAATGGTGGGCCTTTGTATATACAAAAATGCAAAGTAAGGTTCATCTATATTTGAAAATCCCAACACTTCAGCAGTATCACTTTGTCAAATGTTCTAAGATAAAGAGCATATAGCAGGGGAGAAAGAAAAGCAGCAGCAGTTAGTTACAGGGATGATCCTGCCAATCATTACGTTACAGAATATCTGGCCCAGAATCAGTTAGTAAGTGACAAGAGGGGGTTCCATTTTCCAACATTAATGAATGAGTGCATAAACAAACAAACAGCCCTGACCGGGAATCGAACCCCGATCACCTGGATCCTAGGTCTATGCTCAACCACTGAACCATGCCCAGCCGGGAGCATCTGACAGTTTTATTGTGTTTTCCTTCTGTAAAATTGGGGAAGCACACTACATAACCCCCATCTGCATACCCCATAAACACACCTTAGACCTCATCATATTCTGGAATAGGTCAGAAGCTCATTTCCAGTAGCAGTTAGGATTTCCCTATGCATTCTGAATGCAGTTAAGATATTGCAATAAAATAAACACATATTAATTACTTTCTCAGACCAGTATGTATAATTTAAAGTATGTAAATATTTGTATATTTTAGATTTAGATACAGTGTATCCCTTGGGAAAACTCTAATACCAATACCAATACTACAACTACTTCCCATATGCAAGTAATAATATTTTGATATCAAAATCAGTTTGGATTATTTCTTACCTTTTCAACATCTGCCTTGGTTGCATTAGTATCATTATCCAATCTTTCGTAACTCTGTTGTGCCTTTTCTGCCTCTCTACATTCTCTTTCAAATTTCCTTTTACTCTGTGAAAATAATCAAAATATCACACTGAGAAATAAAATTAGATTCATCTCATTAAAAAAACAAAACAAACTTTAAAATGTTGCCACTGTATACTGTGTAGAATTGCACACTAGGAGTAAAATTTGCCCAAATTAGAAAATTAATTTTACTATTATAATCAATCTGGGTTCCTTAAATATCAAACATTATAGATTGTGGGGGAGAATAAAAATCACAGGCATGGCTGAGTTAATACTACATACCTCATCTCTTCTCAGTAAGAAAAAAATCATATGTATTTTACAATTTTTAATTACACGCTCATCTTCAGTTTGGTATTTTTTGCTTGTTTTGTATGTTTGATTACCTGGTTTGGTTTCGGTGTTTGCTTGTTCTTATTTTTATTTTTTTGGTGGGATCCCAATGGAACTTAGATGTGGAAATGTCCCTCCAAAGTGGGGTTTTTTCCTTTCTCTTTTTTTAATTTATTTTATTGTTGAAAGTACTACAGATGTCTCCCATGTTCTCCTCTTTACTCCACTCCCCCCACCTCCCACCCCTCCAAAAGTATTTTTACGTTGTTTCTTCCAAGTGTCCCAGGAAATGCCATCAGACCAGAACCAGGCTCTGTTAAATTTTTGTATTGAATTCAAACTTCCTTTGACTTTGTAAAAGCTATTCACAACTGAGCCATATGATAAATACCGTATTTCCTTTCCTTTGTACTTCTTTAAATCCTGTAGCTTCTTTTTTTAAATTTGTTCAGTTTTGATACACTTTTCTCTTATTCAATCCGTGTTTCCCCAGTTCTTAAATCTTTCCTCAGTTAATTCAAACAGAATCAGAATTCTATCAATTTTATTTTCCTGATGAAATCTCTCTCAGTGTTTTGACCTGCTAAAATTTGGACAGGTTACCAAACTAGGCCTACCGCACAGCTATAACCTAGGGATTTCCCTTCACCATTATCCTGGGGATTCCTTTCATCTCTCCTTGATTTGAATCTCCTATTTCCAAGTTCCAAGCCTTCTTCCCTTTCTTGGTTCACTTCCTTATTGTGCTGAAACACATTCAGCAGTAGCCTGCTAAAAGAAGGTTTGCGGGAGATGACTTTTTAAGTCTCCAAGGCTGAAAAGGCCTTTAATATTATTTTTAATTGATAAAATTTGTCTGGGAATGAACTAGAGTAGGAAATTGTCTTCCTTCATTCAGAAATGTAAAAAGTACTACTCCACTCTTTTTTAGCTTTCTGATCCTTTGTATGAAATCTGTTTTATTCTTCCTCTCTGGAGACTGGTAGGATCTTTTCTCTCTCATAACTGTTCTGAAATTTCATGAAGATAATGTCTTGTGAGGCGCCACTGTGCTGGGCACCTGGAAAATCCTTTTCATCTAGAAACTCATGTCTTTCTGTTCTGGGGAAGTTTTCTTGAATTATTATTTTCTTTCTGTTTTCTATATTTTCTTTTCTTTTTTAGGATGCTTATTATTTTGAAAATGAACCTACAGGATGAATCCTATTTTCTTATATTTTCTCTAATATTTTCAATTTCTGTCATTTTGCTCTACTTTCTGAGAGATTTCTTCAATTTCATTGCTTCAAGTAGGTTTTTTCATTTCTGTTATTAAGTTATTTTATGTTCTTAATGCCTTTTGAAATAGTATCATTCATATTTCATGGGTGTAATATCTATTCTCTTTGAGAATATTAATATTAGTTTTAGGTGTATTGCTTATTTACTTTGTTTTTTAATTCCTACACTGTTTCAAAGTTGCTTTTCTTGGTCTTTGGTGTTTACATTAGATGTTTTCTTTAAATGTCTGGGGATCCTTGCCTATCTGCTCTTACTTAAAAAGCCAACTGAAAGCTCTACAGGCAGAGCTTGTGGATCACGGTCTTTCCTTAGGATGACATGGCCAGGCAGTTTTCTTGAAGAAATCCTGGTATCCATATCTGTAATGCTTTTCTCTCAAGCTGGTCAGAATCCCCAGACAAGACTCTTCCAGTTTCTTGCCTGGCAAATATATGCCTTACTACCTATATTCTAAGAACCGCTCAGAAGAAAGCAGAAGATGTCAACATTTTCTATTTATCTACCCCCCCCTCCTTATTAGAATCAGTTTCTAAGTCAATTTCTTGTCTTAGGGACTATGAAACTATATGGATAGTGCAAATTTTAATTCCAAACCTCCAAAGTACAAGGTCAAAAGGTTTAAATTTCTCACAAGATACCCGTGTGCCTCCTTTGATCTTCAGACAAAGACAGGTTTCTCTGATGTTTCCTTTGGCCAGTGGGAAACAGATTTAGTCCTTCAAAGTTTCAAACATTATACAGGAGTTTCCGTTCCAGCTCTCCACAAAATACAGAGCTAAAATCTAATCTGTTCCTGTGTGAGAATTAAAACCCAAGTCCTTACCAAGGACTTACCCATACCCCAACACCTCTGCCCCCATTTTTCAAATGCCACTGTATCACTTCATACGCCTATTGCTCTGGCTTTTAGTTTACCCTTGTTTCTAGCAGTTAGAGATTTAAAATAAGCTCTGCTAGGAACTTAAAAAACAATAAAAATACTTTAGCTATTATATCTAGGTATCTGTAGCCAAAGGCTTCTCAGTTAGCTCAGTTTACAATATACCTAGAACCAGACATACCTATAATTTATATCAAATAAATATGCTCAGAAATGTTCTTTAAATGCACTTGCTATTTTAATTAGTATGAGCCATCAAATGGAATACTTACAATTTATTCAAAGCATATAAATATATCTGAATATGAATATATAGAATGTCACTTTTCTGTGAAGATTAAATTTCCACATTTAATTCTCTGAAACTCAGTTCAGAGCTGTGTTTTCAAATTGAGTAGCTAGTCTAGCCAGTGTTGCTCAGTGGTTAAATTTCACCCTATGAACCAGGAGGTCACAGTTCAATTCCTGGTCAGGGCACATGCCTCAGTTGTGGGCTCAGTCCCCAATAAGGGATGTGCAGGAGGCAGCCGAACACTGACTCTCTCATCATTAATGTTTCTAGCTCTCTCTCTTTCTCTCCCTTCCTCTCTCTGAAATCAATAAAAACATTTTTTAAAAATATTGAGTAGCTATAGGCTACTAATCTTGGTGCAATTTGAGGCTACTTATATATAAAAGTATTTTTATATTAAGTGTCTTATTATTTGTGAAAAAAAATCTACCTAATAATTTCCTTGCAACAGCAAAAGAATCACTAGTACAATATTTAACATATTCCTTCCCTGAGAAATACTGTATCTTTACACAATATGCAAATACACTCCAGAAAAGATCATCCAGTCTTCTCCTTTGTGTGGCAAACTAATCAACAGCCACTTCTACCGCTCCATCCTTTCTTAGAAGAGCCCACCTCCCAGTATAGAGACTAAAAAAATAGCTGATACAGTACTTGCTGTACCAGCTTTCCCACAGCTGGGGTAAGGTCAAGTAATCTAATCCTGTCAAAGGCACCCATAAGGAAGTCTACTGGAGGTTTTCTGGGAAAGTCTTCCTTCCCTGACAAGAAGGGATAGTTGGAAAAGGTATGTTCCCTTTTTAATGCTTCTGCACGCAGCTGAATGAGGATGTGGTGCTTGGCTGCTTAAATCAACTGCTGACTATAGAGGACAAGCCTCAGGAAAAAAGACAACATGGTCAAGATGGCAAAGCGAACAGAAAGGAGAGAGAGGCAGCCTTTGTGGCATCACTGAGTCACTGACAACTCTGAAACTGCTGCACTTTTGAGCACTCTTCTTGTAAACATGTATAAGCTGTTACTTGGAGCTGCCTAAGCGGGTAGACCTAGCATCTCCAATGCTTCTATCTTCTTAATCTGATCATTCCATCAAGATCTTCACTCACTAGTCTCTTATGCTCTAGAATTTAAGTGTCCTGCTGCCTATTTTGTTTATCTTGGGGTTAATAACTATATTTTAAATGTGTGTGTTTTCAATCTTCAATACTCTGTATCTAATTCAACCTGTCTCTCCCAGTTTTTTAAATCTCCTTCATTATTTCAAACATGTTAGGAATTTTATAACTGCATTTTCTAAATCAAGCAGGAAGACGTGGAACTAGGAAATGAGAACCTGCACACATTTCTACATAATACACAGAAAATTATACCTGTCTGCCTCCCTCACGAGACTGCAGGCTCCACGGAAAGAAGAACCATGTCACATATACTTTTGTACCTCCAGGACCCGCTACATGTCAAGGATGCCTTCAATAAACATGAATTGAGCTGCACTCACCTTTATTTCATGGTATTGTTAATGCATTAAAGAAATCTCTCCTACATTTTCTGATGCTTCTTTCTTATTACCCCTATAACTTTTGCTTAATAACTGCCAATTATTCTAAAGGCAAGTCAGCACATATTAACAGGAATGATTTGAGCCAACATTTGTTTTTAAAGGGATCCATTACTCATAAGCGTAGGAGTATTTTTTGTGCAAATGAAAACACAAACACTCACTCACAAGCACTCATCGGGTGTCAGATACCAAGGATGCTAGGCAATTTAAAATTTAACAAATGTAAACACTCCCTAAAAGTCTTGCTGAAACCAATTAAAGGGAAGATGAAAACAAAAATAAAGACAGACTACAGTATTAGTATACCTAAAAATTCTCAATTAGCACTGATGATTAGAATCTTACATCAATGAGTTACACAGAAAATTTTTGAAATTTTATGACACATTTTTAAAAAGGAAAAAGGCTCAAAATAGTGCACATATGCATGTGGTTGTTTTTTCCAACAACCACAAACTAAATTGATTAATTTAACATGAAAAACTCCCTCCAACATAACTTTCAAGGAATACACAGTGTCCATCATAAAAACATGCAGGTATAGAGTAAACTGTTTCAGCACTAAAGACAAATTAAAAAAAAAAAAATTTAAAAGAGCAAACTGCTTGCTAATCTGAGATTCAAAAAGAATACTAATCTTATACTACAGAACATTTGAGAGAGCATTTTAGTCAAGGAGAAAGGAGACAACAGCGTTCCATGTAGACTCCTTGTTTTCAAATGACGGTGTGCCAGAACATTTTTTTAAAAACCACATTAGCAAGTACCCTTAGACAGTTTTTTAAGAAAACAATTACTATGCTCTTATAATTTTGCCCTACCTACAGAGTATTCTATTTCCTACAACGAGATGGTCTATGACCAGCAGCCTAGTACAAGAACATTTACATTATTACAGAATCACTGAATTGGAAGAAACATTTCATATAATTTAGTCCACTCTTCATTTTTCATATGCTAAAAATGAAGTCAACAAAAATCCGGTGATAAGTAAATGACAGAACTAGAATCTAGGTCTTCTCAGTCTCAGTCAAATGGTCATCTAAGATATATCACTGATATATCTTATCACTTATTATTATCACTTATTAGTATAAGTAATCCTTATTACTTCTATCCTCTATCAATATTTTATAGTAACTACTGTAAAGACAAAAAGAATTTTCCTAAATGTTTACAATTACCTGAATATTATAGAGATGGTACAAGTATAGGATCACACAGGGGAAAAAATGACAAAATGATCTCACATTCTCTATAACAATGTCAAATTGTTGAGAAATATTAAACTCAAGTAGAAATATTAAACTCAAGTGAAACATAAGGAAATTCAGGGCTAAATAAGTCTACAAAATTTTATGAAACACTGTAACTCACATTATCCATCTGTTTCCAGCACATGTCAAGATACTGTTGAGCTTTCCGTCCCTCTTGAAGATGCTGAAGATCATAATAACCAAAAACACAAACAGAACAAATAAAAATTATATTTAAATAAAGTCTCAAAAAGGCTTTTCACTTTATTTTTTTCAAGATACTAATTATATAACTATCAAAATTTAATAAGAAATTTTAGTAAAACAAAACTCTCTAAAATACATTTTATAGAATATTATTGAGTATTTTAAATATATCTTTTAAAGACATAATTTCTAAGAAAATAAATGACTGTCTTGAACAGGGGTTGATAAACGTTTTCTATAAAGGATAACATAAATTAGGATTTGCAAGCCATATGGTCTGCTGTTACAAATATTTAACTCTTCAACTCTGTGATGTGATGCAAAACCAGTAAAAGGCAAAACATAAAGGATTAAGTGTAGGTCTCTTCCAAAAAAACTTTTTTGAATTTCATATAATTTTCATGTCATAAAATACTATTTTTTTCTTTTCAATTATCTGAAGATGTAAAAACCAGTCTTAGCATGTGAGAACCAGGAACAAAAACAGGCAGTAGGCTGGATTTAGGTTATACAGTTTACCAAACCTTAGTCCTGAATCCAAAAGGATCACTAATTAACAAGAGTATCTTGAGATGATTTTAGTTAGAAGAACTACAGTGAAATAGAAAACCAATTTATACTGAATACACATTATTTTAAAGAGCAAAGTATTTTATTTGTGAAAATATTTCATATACTATTATTACTGGATAAAAACAATAATTACCATTTTTCTTTCAGTTTTCAGATCATGAGCATATCTCATTAATTCACCATAAACTCTCTGTGCCATTTCTTCTGCTACTACTTCTCGCTGTCCTGCATAGTCGTTTAACTCGTTCAGGATGTTAAAAAAGGCTACACATGAAGTAAACCTGACAAAAACATATTTAAAAATGGTGAAATTTTTAATTTTCATTACAAATGTTTTTTGTGAGGTATGGATTGAGCCTGACACTTGACAAATTTTAGCATATTCAACCTAAATCTTAGCTACTAGCTCTAAATTAACTTTATATGGAAGGAATCCCGCATAAAGTTCAAGTTGTACATGTTTGTATATCTTCATGTAGTCTTAATTTATACATAAAGGGATATTTGGGGTCAAAAATAATAAGAATACTACCTGCAGGTTCTTTTGGCATACTGGAATATCTTAAGTTGCCAATTGACTGGCCTGAGCTTGGGAATGAACTTGGTTGGATTCCTAGGCTTGGCAGCTGAACCTGTTGCAGAGATGATGCGCTGCCAATCACACCCCTCAAACGCATCTGGATGGCTGATCTACAAAACTTTGCTATCAGCTCTGGACACAGGTGCCTATACGCCTGCCCACATCCTGAATGGAAGTGACGTACCATTATGGTTGGCATCAAAGGTGGGTAAGAAGGGGCAAAAATAAAGGTAAAAAAATGTGTGTGGAGGGAAGAAGAGAAACAAAGAGAAACAATGTATTAAAATGTATAGATCGACTTTGAATATACTGCCTAAATACACTTACAGCTGAAGGCGAACAGCTAGGACAGGACTGCATTAATCCTAACAACTGACAATTATACACAAAGTTGTTTAAGTCAAGTCTCTTTTTGTTTCTGCATTTTACAGCCATCCACATATCCCTGTTTAAGACTTCCAAAAGCTCAGAGGCAATTACCCTCCTTTTCATTATCCCTTTAAACCAGTCTACCAAACTGTTTTACTACCTGTAAGAGCAAAAGCAAGAAGCTGAAAACTACAAAATAAATATGGAAAAAATACTCTTTTCTTCTAGAGACTAAATTCCTCAAGTGGGGTTCTAGTCTACATCTTACTTAGAAATCCACACATCAACTATTCTAGAAAATTATTCAAGTTTCAATATTAAAGTATTCATTCTTTCATAAACATTGATTTAAAATAAACTCTAAAAAAACCTTAATGAAAAGCTAACAGAGGGACTGGGGATGAGGGTGGGGTGGGGTAGAATGGGGAGAAAAAGGGACATCTGTAATATTCTGAATAAAAAGAAAGCTAACAACATAATATTTACCAAATAAAAATGTGTTTTTAAATTTTTAATATGTAATAATAAACAGGTATATAATTTACCTTGGTTCTTCATCTTTGGAGGAACGTTTGGGACAGTATTTCTTAACCAAATTTCTACAGGAAAAAGATTTTTAAAAATTTATAAGAAATATTGTTGTTGGAATTGAAATATTCTGAATGTTTCCAATTTCACTGAAGAATTTAATGATATAAAACGACTAAGAACAACATGATTTCTACTATCATTAACATAATATATGATCGTTACTTGAGTTTTTAAAAAATACCAACGCTTGTAGAAAGAAATGTTATTTCTGTGTTTATATGAGTATAATCATAACAATTTGGCTGATTATGCTATCAGATAAAAAAAGTACTCTTCCCCCCCCCAACCCCCTGCTTAGAAGAGGAACACACCTGCACTGCAGGCAGAGAGGGAAGAAAGGGGGGAAAAAGAAAGATAGAAAATTACCCCTGCCTTCCTAACAAAGTTGTCCAGAATTATATATACACAGCATATTCAAGTGAATATAACCCTCACATTCACAAAAATTGGTAATCATCCTATTCTTTATCAAGTTCCTCCTACTATAAGGTGTTCAAGTACTATAGATTCTGTTTCTTAATTGACTCTTTAACTTTTTGTGATAATTTTTATAATAAAAGGGGGAAAGTTTTACACAAGGAGCAGCCTCTTCTTCACACTTTTTTATTGCTTTGGATACAGATGTGTGAGGACAGGATGACTGAAGCTAATGTAACATCTTCCACTCATGAATGGGAAGACCAAGAAATTCATAAGAATGCTCTGACATTCTCTAAGCTCTAGAATCCCATTTCCAAACTTCTTCTTGTATGACAGGACTCTTACTTTAAGCTGAATGTTCCTGTAGAACAGCTAAATAAAAATATACAATAGAAAAATATAGCAAAAACTGAAACTCTGAAGAAATTTCTAGGATCAAGATATAGATGTGTGACAAAAAAATAAAAATTTTTAAAAAGCTACTGTTGACCCTGAGAATGAATGTACCTGTTAAAAAGAAGGACTCCTGCCCTAGCCAGTTTGGCTCAGTGGTTAGAGCTTCAGCCTACTGACTGAAAGATCCTGGGTCCGATTCCATCCAAGAGCACACACCTCAGTTACAGGCTTGATCCCTAGCCCTGGTCGGGGCATGCGCGGGATGCAACCAATCGATGAGTCTCTTTCACATTGCTGTTTCTTTCTCTCTCTCTGTCTGTCTGTCTCTCCCTTCCACTCTCTCTGAAAAGCAATGGAAAAAGTATCCTCCAGTGAGGATTAAAAAAAATAATTTAAAAAATTGAATAAATGTAATTTTGGGGCATCTCCAAAGATTACAGTATTATTTATATATACAATATGTGTGATATTCAGCATACCATACTACTGAATTTACATTTAAATCATTGGTTTTAATCTTTTTTATCCATTCTAGTTTTGCCATATTTATTTTTGGTTTTAGTTAAAATTGTAAAATAGTCCAAAGAATTTCTTAAAACTTAAGATCACTTTTATTAAAACTACATTTTTACAGTTAAATAATGGAGTATAAGATATCTCAAAAAATTTTAAAGGCTGAAAATCATTTCTATACATTTTCAACCTATCAAAATTTAAGGGTCTCTGAGTTCTAATTACTATTTAACAGATGATCAATATCGTATTTATTTGTAAAATGGGATGCAAATCATACTACTATCTGTATCTTCTGGCAGAAGGGTAGTATTAGACACCTAAGACTAGGTATTACCCCTTTTCTAAAGCCCTCCCTATACCTAACAGTTAACAGGCTTACGAATTGCCAGATTAGTACAAATGGCCCTATTTATGGGCCTCAGTTAAATGATCCAGAGATAGAAAACAATCTAGCTGGGCCAAAGAGTTCTCTTCCAGGAATTTTTAAATCTTTGGACCCAATACAGCTTTGAGGCCACTATGAAAGCTGAATCCGAGACATAAATCTGGCATTGTTGGTGACTGTGTTTTCTGCCATATGGAGAAAGCCAGTCTGCACTGAAAAAAATAAAGCCAACCCACCAGAGCCAAAAGAAAAAAGAAAAAGACAACAACAAAGGGCTCTGGCTGTGTTTCAGACACTGACTTTTTTCCCTGTGACCCAGCTGCATCAGGCCTTCCAGCAGCTTGACTATTCAACTTCTTAAGCTCAAATAAAAATATCAAATCCATTAAAAAAAAAAAAAAAAAATCAACAAATAAACTTTTCCTGTTAATAAATTTCCCATTTTATCTAAACTAGCTCAAATTGGGTTTTCCATCACTTAGAGCCATGTATCTTTTCTCATATAAGTGGAAAATTAAATGTAAAAGATATCCACACACAGGCACCACTCCTGCTCACAGCCTCTGTGCCTTGCTCCACTCTCAACATGGCAAAAATGTCCAACCCTACAGAGACCAAGAGGTACACTGAGTCTCTGCTTGCTGTTTTCCACAACTATGCTGAGAAGGTTGGTAATGGCCACAAACTCTCCAAGACTGAGTTCCTAACCTTCATGAATACAGAACTGGCTGCCTTCACAAGAAACCAGAAGGACCTGTATCTTTGACATCATGATGATAAAACTGGGTCTCAACTTGGAATCACACCTCGATCTCCTGGATCATAGATTGATGCTCAACTGCTGAGCCATGCCGGCCGTGCTCCAAGATTTTCTTGATCTCACTAGCAGTATGGTGGAATCTGCCATGACTCCTTTACCCATTCCCAGTGGTATATTTGAGGGGCTCTTGGAGCCAACAATCATGAAAAAAATGATTGATATCACTAATCAGTAGAGATAAATGAAAATCAGGACCACAATGAGATTTCTTACACCCATTAGGATGGCTACTATAAAAATAGATAAAAAACAGAAAATAACAAGTGTGAGTAGAGAGATAGAAAAATTGAAACTCTTGTACATTACTGGTAGTAATGTAAAATAGTTCAGCCACTGCAGAAAACAGTATATAATTCTTCCAAAAAATAACACAGAATTATGATCCAGCAATTCCTCTTCTAGGTATATACCCAAAAAATTGAAAACACAGACTCAAACACATATTTATATGCTCATGTTCACAGCATCATTATTCACAATAGCCAAAAGGCAAAAACCCCCCAAATGTCCATCAACAGATGAATAAACAAAAAGTGTCATATAGATACAACAGAATAAAAAGGAAGGAAATTCTGACACATGCCCAACATGGATAAACTCTTACAACATTACGGTTAGTGAAAGAAGCCAGTCAAAATAATAATAATAATAATAATAATAATAATAATAATAATAATAACTACAACAATGATAACAATACTGTATGATTTCATTTATGAGATACACAGAGCAGACAAGTTCATAAAAACAGAAAGCAGAGACCCAGCCAGCCTGGCTCAGTGGTTGAGCATCGACCTAGGATCCAGGAGAACGAGGTTCAATTCCCAGTCAGGGCACATGCCCAGATTGCAGGCTTAATCCCCAGCAGGAGGTTGCAGGAGGCAGCCAATCAATGACTCTCTCATCACTGATGTTTCTCACTCTCTCCCCCTCTCTCCCTTCCGCTCTCTGAAATCAATAAAGACATATCAAAAAAAGATTTTTTTAAATTTAAAAACAAAACGAAAAACACAAACAGAAAGCAGAATTGCTGGGGGCTGAAGGAAGAGGAAAATGGGAAGTTGTTATTTAATAGGTACAAAGTTTCAGTTTTTCAAGATGATTAAGTTCTGGAGATTGGCTGCGTAACAGTATTAATATACTTAACATGGCTGAAATGTACACTTAAAAATTTAATGTTGGGTACACACTACCACAATTTTTTAAAATTGTTTTTTAAAAAGGAATTGCTACAAGTGATATTAGAACAAATTCTGAATATTTTTGTTTTTTAAAGGGACATGTTTCATCCTCAATTACTATACTTATACTAGTGGCAGATGCTGAAATAGACAGATGACAAGAAGAAATAAGAGGACTTAAATGTTTATGCCTGAGAGAACTAGAAGAAAACCAAACAAGATTCTATGGACATGAAGGTAAACAAAGTTAATATCTATTCTCATTTCTTAAATGCCAGTTCCCAGTTATGCTTTATCTTTAGCATGTCAAAAGGTACAATGTACCTAAAATGTAAATGGGATGATGATGCATGTACGGTATCAGCTTTCTAGTCTATACCCAAAGAATATACGGGACAATTCATTTGCTACTTTAGTATGTGACAGGCATAACAATGTGGTTTCTAGGCAACTGCAGATCTTTCAGAAGAATATTTTCAGGTATGTTCAAGGAAACAGAGAAATTTTGTTCTGCAAATCGATAACTTCTATTTTCCTTCTAAATATTAGATTTTTAAAGAGAACCATATAATACCTTCATAGTCCTAGGTCCAAATAAGCAGCTACATCTGTCTGATTTGCCTATATTTTATATACATATAAGATGATGAAACAAAAATTTACCTCATTTTGCTAACTGCTACACAATTCGAATGGCTACAAAAAATAAATAATTTGGGAATAAAATCATTCAAAGCATTATAAAAGAGGTAAGAAATTAACTAGGTTATTTATACAGCCAACACCATTTAACAACCAAATTACTTTTTTAGCTGCTTAAACAACATAGTCTTTAAGTCCTTTTCATTGGAAAGCTGGCTATCAAAATATTTAACACAACTGGTTAGAAGTTATTTTCTTTCTTAAGAGCTTTATGTTTGTCCGGCCAGTGCGGCTCAGTTGGTTGAGTGTCCTCCCATGCACCAAGAGGTCACTGGTTAGATTCCTGGTCAGGGCACATGCCTGGGTTGTGGGCTTGATCGCCCAGTAGGGGACGTGCAGGAGGCAGCCAATCAATATTTCTCTCTCTCAACAATGTTTCTCTCTCTTCTCTCCCTCTCTCTTCCTCTCTACAAACAAACGAACAAACAATAAAAATATATATATATTTTTAAAAGAGCTTTATGTTTTACTTGTTAGGTTCTGCTTCATCATTTAACCTAAGAAAATATATACAAAAATCAGGAATAGGCTTTGCAATTCTTGTTAAGGTGACAGGTTTGAGTCACCTTTACTAGTAAAGTGGTAGAG